TGGAAAATGCTCTTATAAACGTATATGTAAATTGTAATGAATATTTTTTTATTATTTCAGCTTTTTAATTTAAAAAAAATTAAATAAAAATATCTTGTTGATTTTAATATATAAAAATAAAACTTGATTTAATAAATGAATAAAATAAAACCCTCTCTCTCCAAACTAATTGCACAATCAGCTCATTTGCTTTTACCCTTTACCAACACAGAGTGAAGTACAGATAAATTTCTGCCTTCCTGCCATTCAATATACTCTATTCCTCAAAGACCTGTGTCTGAATTCATATAATTCACTGAAGCAGATTGGAAAACACACTTCCTATGTTCACAGAACCTATAACGTCGACACGCATAAACCAGGGGTAGGCAATCTTGGCTCTTTTATAACTCGTGGACTTCAACTCCCAGAATTCCTGGGAATTGAAGTCCACAAGTCATAAAAGAGCCAAGGTTGCCTGCCCCTGGCATAAACCATACTATGGCTCACTACAGTTGCTTGGTTTGCACAACACACTAACATAAGTTGCTAAACCATGTATTTCCAACATCTCTTGACCATAGAGCTAGTTTGGTGTAGTGGTTAAGGTGCTGGCCTAGAAACCAGGAGACTGTGAGTTCTAGCCCCGCTTCAGGCATGAAAGCTGGCTGGTGGGAGACTTTGAGCCAATCACCAGGAGACGGTGAGTTCTAGTCCCACCTTAACTATGAAATACAGCTGGGTGACTATCACTCTCTCCCTCAGCCCAACTCACCTTACAGGGTTGTTGTGGAGAAAATAGGAGGTAGAAGGAGCCTTAGGTTTGTTTGCTGCCTTGAGTTACTTATAAACCAATAAAGGTGGAATACAAAAATCTAATCAATCAATAAACCAAGGTATGGCAAATCTAAAACTTGCTTGTTGCCTGGACTTAGCCCCAAATTAAACTGGCATATGCTAATTAATTTAATTTATAAGGTCCTGTCTTCTAATCTGAACAGTCAATCATTCAGGTCAATTTACTGCAGTCTTAACCTAGTATAAGAAGTGTGTCTGTGAATGGTCTGTAAGTGTTGTGTCCTGAGCCTTAACAGTAAGCACTTATAAATCTATGTTAATTAACTAGTAAATACAAAGTGATACTACTTAAAATGCATCTACAGGATAGAACCCACGGGTAAAATCAAAAAGGAGAAATCTACAACTCTTTCATTGCTAGCTGGGGAATTCTGGAAGCTGGAATCCATAGGTCTTAAATTTGGACACCCTGGGCCTGGACTCTAAAGGTGGTTGTATCTAAAGTTACATAAAATGTGCTAACACCTAAAATTGCAAAAACATGATCAGAGCTAAATTGAGGTTACATCGATTTTAACAATATCTAAAATGGCATAAATTCTACATAGCAAGAACCTGGCCTGCAAGGCTTGATGTACATGCAGCTGCACAACATCTAAGCCAAGGGTGTGGTAATGATGTCAATTTATTTACAAGTAGCATCTGGGCTTAAGCCAAGCTTGTACAATGAGATCAGCAATCTGCTAATGGAAGATTAGGAGTGCCTGCCTCAAAAACAAGAACAATCAAGAAAAATAACATCTCCTGCGGTTTCTACTTCTACAAAACCACGAGAGCAGACTCCTTCACGTGCCACTTTTTAACACTGAGAAAGAGAGCATGACCTCGGGTGAAAGAGAAAGCTTTCTAATGGTGGGGCTTTTCAAGTTGTGTTAGATAGTTGGCAACAGTGCCTCGGAACCAATGCTTCTCAAACTTGGCAATTTAAAGATGCGTGGGTTTCAGCTCCCAGAATTCCAAGGTACAGATACAGATTAGGTAAAACTTGGCTCAACAGCAGAAACTGTGAGAGGGAATACAGTCACTTAAATATGACTCAGTAATGGTGTTGCAAATGCCCCCCCCCCAAAAAAAGCCAATACAATCTTAGGCTGCATTAACAGAGAGACAGAATCAAGATCATGAGAAGTGCTACTACTGCTTCTTAATGCCTTCAGCCCTGACTGCTCTTTAGAAGGCCAGATCCTGAAGTTGAAACTCAAATACTTTGGCCATCTAATGAGAAGGAAGGACTCACTGGAAAAGAGCCTAATGCTGGGAAAGATTGAGGGCAATAGAAGAAGGGGACGACAGAGACGGAGGTGGCTGGAGGGAGTCACTGAAGCAGCAGTAAATGGACTCCAGAAGATGGTAGAGGACAGGAAGGCCTGGAGGAATGTTGTCCATGGGGTTGCGATGGGTCGGATATGACTTCGCAACTAACAACAACAAGGCCACACTTGGAGTATCGCATCCAATTTTGGTCCCCACGATAAAAAAAAGGACGTTGAGACTCTGGAAAGAGTGCAGAAAAGAGTAACAAAGAGGATTAGAAGACTAAAACATATGAAGAATGGTTGCAGGATTTAGGTATGTCTAATGCAGTGAAAAAAAGGACTAGGGGTGACAGGATAGCTGTGTTCCAATATTTGAGGGGCTGCTAGAATAGAATAGAATAGAATAGAATAGAATAGAATAGAATAGAATAGAATAGAATAGAATAGAATAGAATAGAATAGAATAGAATAGAATAGTTGGAAGGGACCTTGGAGGTCTTCTAGTCCAATCTCCTGCTCAGGCAGGAAACTCTATACCATTTCAGAACAATTGTTCTCCAATCTCTTCTTAAAAACTTCCAGTGTTGGAGCATTCACCGCTTCTGGAGGCAGGCTGTTCACTGGTTAATTGTTCTGACTGTCAGGAAGTTTCTCCTTAGTTCTGGGTTGCTTCTCTCCTTGCTTAGTTTCCATCCTTTGCTTCTTGTCCTGCCTTCAGGCGCCTTGGAAAATAGCTTGATTCCCTCTTTTTTGTGGCAGCCCCTGAGATATTGGAACACAGCTATCATGTCACCCCTAGAAGAGGGGGGTCAATCTATTTTCTAAAGCCCCAGAAGACAAGACAAGAAACAATGGATGGAAACTAATTAAGACGGTCTTCGATTAAAGCCACAAGAATCACTTCGCTCTAAATTTACTCTGATGAGGGAAAAACCCACGTCATTTTGTTTTGTTTCAAACTCACTCAAAGAACAATCAGATACTGATATTTTTACAATAAAATAAAATAAAACAAAATCCCCTACCCGCCCTTTATTCTGTGCTGACTCTAGACCTACTTTGTAATCAGATTGGAATGAATGTAAATAGCCAGCAACATATAGGAATATTTGCAACTGAGATACCATTGTATTCTTCCATTTCTTGTGCAACTTTGGAAAATCAGAGATTAGAGATCGCAGTTTCAACTTGCTAAATCTAAATTGCCAACTGGGGATTTCTGGGAATTGAAATTCAGACAACCTAAAGCTGCCAAGTTTGGAGAGAAAAAAAACAAAGCACTGATCTAAACACTGGAGTGAGGGAGGGTGGAAAACCTCTAGAGAATTCTAGCCCTGCAGAATTGAAAATGGTTGAGTTGGAAAATCCCCCCCCCCCAAAAAAGACATCTTTTTGGGGGGAACATTTTACACATCTTTTTTATGTGTAAAGATCTTTTTATTAATTTTTTTTCATCAACATATGTTAATTTTTCCAATCAACAAGTTGTCTGGAGTTTGCTATGCTAATACATGTTCAATTCCTAATCCTTCATTCTTTCCTCTAGCCAAGAATAAAATCGCTTCCAAATTTGATAATAGTCTGTATCTTCTTTATCTTTCAACCTCATAGTTAATCTGTCCATCTCTGCACATTCCAATATTTTCCTGATTATTTCTTCTTCTGATGGCAGTCCTTCATCCTTCCAGTATTGTGCAAAAATTATTCTCGCTGCTGTAGTAATGTGTAAGAGTAAATACAATTTCTGCTGATTAGTCTTTTCAGGCATAATACCTAGTAAAAAAAGTTCAGGTTTAAAGTCCACTTGTTCACCCAGTATTTTTTCTAACCACATCTTGTTGACAAGAAAAATTCCTTATTCTGACATTGTCCTTCAATTCTCTTAACCCTCTTTTCCCATCTTGTGGATAGAGATGGGAAAATGGCTTTAATACAATAAAACAAGGAAAGCACAGGCTTAGATTTATTTCTTTATTTCCTTTTAACCAACAAAGTATTTTGTGTGGGTTATAAAATTCCACAAGAAGCTGAGCAAAACTCCCCTCTCTTACATCATGGCCCTAATGTCCATTAGCCTTGGAATAAATTGTCGGCCAGAAAGAAACAAACTTCAGACACCAGGAAGAATTCCATAACATTCCTTTTAACGGTATACATTTTAAAAACCATTTTAGAAACCTTCCTGGAAGCAACAGCAACCACAAAATACTAAAACCCATTAAGTGCAATAAATAAATAATATTTATTTAGGAAGGGAGGGTGGAAAACATGTAAACCCTGTCCTTCTGTTAGAGTGGATGCTGAAAGTAAAACTGAGCATGAAAACGGAACAAAATTCCTGAACAAAGCGGAAACTTTTTGCTGGCTGCCCAAAAAACACATTCTTTTGTTTCTTTTACTGTTTCTTTTAACAGTTAATGTGAGGAGGAACAAGGATCTTTGTTAACAATTGCGGTTTGTGTTTTTCAAAATGAGAGAGGAACCGTGCTACTTGAGGTCAATGTTTCTCCACCTCAGCCACTTTAATTTCAACTGGCAGAATTCCCCAGCCAGCATCTGCATTTGCAAATCAAGCTGAATCATTGCCCTAAACAAAGTCTTCCCTTTTCACTTTTAGTGAAGAGGAGATCTGAAAATGTGTGGTTACCAATTGATTAATCTGTGCTGCAGCTGTAGCTGACACCCCACCCACCTTTAATAACACCCAGGCCGAAGGCAACTGATCTTCCACATGGATGACATCAGTGATGGGATTCAGCCAGTTTGCACCACTTCAGCAATGGACTTCCGGCATCCACATAGAGAACCGGTTGTTCCCATATTTGAATCCCACCACTCCTTCCTTCCTTCCTTCCTTCCTTCCTTCCTTCCTTCCTTCCTTCCTTCCTTCCTTCCTTCCTTCCTTCCTTCTTTTCTGTGGCAGGATTCAGCCAGTTTTTGTTGCCCAGGCCCAGAATGGACTTCCAGAAGCGGCATCCACACAGAGAACCAGTTGTTCCCATATTTGAATCCCACCACTGGATGACATTCTTTTGAGTATCCCAAGATAATAGCAGAACTCCTTAGCTCAGTGGTTCTCAACCTGTGGGTCGGGACCCCATTTGGGGTCGAACGACCATTTCACGGGGGTCACCAAACAACACAGTCCGCCATTTTTTCCCCCTTTTCCTTAGCTGTGCTACTCCCTTTTATTCTATTGGCTTTTGAAAGCCAATAGAATAGACTCTCTTGAATAGAGTCTAATTCTATTGGCTTTCAAAAGCCAATAGGAATTGTCCAGGCTGTCTCTGCCCTGCTGAGCCCACCAAAAGTCCCATTCTGCAAACGGTGCTGCACCAGTTGAGTAGTCCTCGACTTACGACCGGTTGAGTAGTCCTTAACTTATGACCGGTTGGGGGTCATGGCATTAAAAAGGTTGAGAACCACTGCCTTAGCTGAACTAGGGCTGATCTTATTTATGATACCCCCTTGGGTATCTATGGACTTCGCTCACTTGCAGTGGCCGCATGCTAAACATAATGTAGTTTGTGAGGGTTCTCAGTAAGTTGTGTGAACTAAGTCCTCGTGCCTTAAACATACGATGGGTTCTGGATGTATGTACTGCTGAATTCAGTGTATTTAGTGTATGTTTAGCTGCCGGGAATTTGAAGGGTCCTTAGTGCTCTCTGAACTTCCTTGCTTGCTTGCAGATGTTGTCAAACATCATCAGTGCTTTTGGGTAATGAAACCTCTGCAAGAAAACCACCAAGCTCAGAGAGCACGAAGGATCCCTCATTTCAATCCTGAGCTATGAATATTCTCCTTTATTGGTACTGGGGACTTTCTTTTAAAAACCACTTTGGAAAATCCAAATTAGGAATTGGCCCAAGCCTCTATTATAGGTAATCTTCGACTGAGCCCCGAATTTTTGTTGTTAAGTGAGACATTTGTTAAGGGAGCTTTGTCCCATTTTACGACCCATTTCTTGCCACAGTTGTTAAGTGAATCACTGCAGCTGTTAGGAACAAGGTTGTTAAGTGAATCTGGCTTCCCATTAAGTTTGCTTGTCAGAAGATAGTCACATGACCCCTGGACACTGCCATCGTCATAAATATGAGTCAGTTGCCAAGCATCTAAATTTTGATCATGTGACCATGCAATGGTCGTAAGTGTGAAAAGTGGTCATAAGTCACTTTTTTCAATGCCATTGTAACTTTGGACGGTCACTAAACAAACTGTTGTAAGTCAGACGACGTGTATGCTACATGGCTGGGTCATTTACAACCCAGATTTTACAAGAGACACATTTTTTTTTTCTTGGTTTTATTTTTTTGGGGGAATGAATTTTAGAATATCTTTCTCGTAATAATGCCCAAAGCAAAATATTATACCTAGCCCAGAAAAAAAATGATTTTCTTAACTTGGGAAGTATATGTTTCTTTCTCCAAAACCCTTTCCTGTTGTGAAATTGGGAGAGACAGCTTGCTTCTCAAAACTCTTTCCTGTTGCATATCTCTCTACGTTTATTTCATCAGAGTGTGATTCCCTGAAGAAGACGGATATCCATAGTGGCAGTAATATGAATGGCACAGCCTCACGGGCCCTGATGGTGGTGCTTCTTCAGAGATGGGACTTGTAAGATGTCCTGCCTGCTGTGGTAGATTCTATAGGACAAGCAAAAAGTGCTGCAATGAGAGTTCTCAATTTACGAACGGTCATTTAACAACCATTTGAAGTTACAACGGCCTCAGTGCGTTATGTTCCATAAAACACATCTAGCCCTCATAACATGTCATGCCCCTCCCTCTACAGTCACATGACTGTGTTTTGGGTGCTTGGCAACCAGCTCATATTTGCAACTGATAGCAGCATCCTTCTTGATCATTTTGCCACTATTTTTGACATGTTTTTACCAATTTCCTAGATCGTTTGCCGGCAAAAAATGCTCACTCAGGAGAATGGCTGAACGACCTCTGCAAATGTAGGAGAAAAATCCACATCCAATCCTATAAAGCAGTGGTTCTCAACCTTTTTAATGCCGCGACCCCCAACCGGTCGTAAGTCGAGGACTACTCAACCGGTCGTAAGTCGAGGACTACTCAACTGGTGCAGCACCGTTTGCAGAATGGGGCTTTTGGCGGGCTCAGCAGGGCAGAGACAGCCTGGACAATTCCTATTGTCTTTTGAAAGCCAATAGAATTAGACTCTGTTCAAGAGAGTCTATTCTATTGGCTTTCAAAAGCCAATAGAATAAAAGGGAGTCGCACAGCTATGGAAAAGGGGGAAAAAATGGCAGACTGCGTTATTTGACGATCCCCGTGAAATGGTCGTTCGACCCCAAATGGGGTCCCGACCCACAGGTTGAGAACCACTGCTGTAAAGGAATCCCTGCAGATCTTATTCCACTAGTCATTGCCAATTACAGAGGGCGACACTCATCTCCATTTCAAGGCCTTGAGCCAGCGCTGTCTGAAGACCTTTCCACGGTCATGTGGCCAATGTGATGTCATGGAGTGTTCTTCCCTTCCCACCAAAATGGTACCTATTTATCTATTCGCATTTGCATGTTTTCGGACTGCTAGGTTGACAGAGCAAGGAATAGGAGCTCACCCCATCAAATGGAGCTTGGGTCTCAAACCCGGACTACCATCTTTCCAGCCAAAATGCCCAACATCTTAACCACTGAGGCCACCGTGCTGCCTCTCCAGTCTCATGCTTACCTTGAATAACAACCACAATGACTTACAACCAAAATTCCCATCCCAATTGCGGTCACAAGTCAAGGACCACATGTACACCCAAACTGGATCTCAATTTTATTTATTTATTTACTTTCTCCTCCAACCCACTTTGGCTTCAGATGCTGCAGACCACAATCCCAAGAAGACATTAAAATAATGGATTACAGTGGGAAGATCTTGGAAGACCAGAGTAGGCATAAGTAACATAGGAGGAAGTTTGTGGCAATTATGAGAAGACTGGGGGAAGACCTGATGTATATTTTTATGCCTGCATGTACTTATGCTAATTGCTTCGACGTAAGTAGGTAAAGGCAGGATTTGGGTCAACATCACCATATGACCTGTCATTGATAGTCATCATGGCCTGCCAATGGGCAGCTTCTAAATATGAGGACTCCATCTTTTGGGTGGGATTTCTTGTCAATGACGACCACATAGAGGAGGCTGAGCTGAACTGAATGAGCAGATATGTGTCTGTCTGTCCATCTCACTGTCTACTGCAATGAGGAATGAAGGAGGACTCCCCAGGAAGGAAAAAGAGAGAGGGGAACTAAGTGCAGGATCTACCAGGAGTCGATCAAAAGTCACAAAGAATCACATCATCACCAGCATTGATGGTGTTACCTAGTTAGGATAATGAAACCTCTGCAAGAAAACAAACATGCTCAGAGAGCACCAAGGACCCCTCAATCACATCAAGGTAGAAGATGGTCAAAAGACTGAGCTTCCTTTGAAGGATCTGGTAGGGTTTTGATATTTTAAGGCAGGGGTCTTCAAACATGGGCCTTTTATGACTTGTGGACTTCAACTCCCAGACTTCCTCAGCCAGGCACACTGGTTGAGGAATTCTGGGAGTTGAAGTCCACAAGTCATAAAAGGCCCAAGTTTGAAGAACCCTGCTTTAGGGCCTAGGAGCAACTGGGCTGAAAGAACGAAAACAAGCAATTCTGGGAGTTGAAGTCCACGAGTCATAAAAGGGCCAAGTGTGAAGACCCCTGTTTTAAGGCATAAAATCAGCTGATCTGGAATGAATTTTACTTTATTAAAGCACAGTTAGCCTCACCCAAGGATTGGCAACATATCTTGAGCACTGTGTTATGTAATGTTGTCTCATTCCAATTCACCAATATCTCACGAGGTCACCCATGAGACCACAAAACTCTTGCAAGATCTCACCACGTTTAAAACCTTATTTTATTTGGAGGTCTGGAGGTGTCGCTTCGAAGTCCAAATAGTTTTGAGTAAGTTCAACAGGTATCCAATATTTCCCCAAAATATCCAGCAGGAAAGGAGGAAAAATGAGGGATTTTTACCTTGAACCCAGTCAAGCATTTGGTCCACTTGAAACAGAAGCTTAATATGGCTAGCTCGTTGGCAGAACACACTAACATAATTACTGTAAACCCACACAATTTGCACAATATTTGCAATAGTATTATTGCACAAAAATAGAGCAATAGTTATGAAACCAGACTGGCTTCATACATCACATCAAGCTCCATATGCATCCAGAAACCAGAGTTAAAACTAACCAAGCCTCACATATTGTCCGCTGACCTGATTAGATTCGTCATGTGAACACCATCATTACTACATACACTGACCTGGTAGCAGATGCCAGGTTTTAAGCATTAAATTGTGCAAATCTTCAGAAGATTGCTTTGCAGGAGACAGACACACACTTCTCCACCTTCCTAGTACCAGAGCGGTATGGCCAAACTTTATTTGTGAAAAGCAGCAGCTTGTGCGCATGGATTGCAGGTCTGCAGAAGTCCCACCATCTGAGACAAAATCCTCAGTCAAGGAAGGTCACCTTGGGTGGCCACTCTGCCTTGCAAACTTCTATTAATTAAAGGCATTTTCCAGCAGACATTTTGTGGCTGTGTCTTCATGAATTAGCAAGCTGTTCCTCATGGTTAAAAAGAGGGTCCAGATTCAAGTTCCAGCACTTTCTCTGGAGACCTTGTGCTGGTCAGTAGTGAGAAAACTGAACAAGTGGACTCAAACATTTGTCTTGGTGAAATACCCCTTTCATGTTCTATGTTCTTCTTTCTGAGAAGGAGAAACAAGGAACCTTTAACGGCTGCTTCTTCCAAGAGGTGCATTACAAGAGGACCTTCATCAGCAGGAGCCCAGAGAGAGACAAGAGAAGACATCCTGTAAGCTGGGACACCTGGTTGGCCGGCTGGCAATTAACAGTATCCGTATCAAACAAGTTCACTTTTCCAGAGAGTAAAACGTTACAGATGGGCGCAGTTGTGCAACCTTTCAGAGTGATGCGCTTATCTAAATATGACAAACAAGAAGGAAAGTCACACAGAGCCTGGTGATCATGACCTAAGAAGTCCACTCATCCACTTAACGGCTGGCTAACGCAACACACTAATCTTTCAAGTTGCTTAAACACAGTGCCAGTATTATACGCATAAAACATGCTGCACAAGTTCATCTGTTGCACCAGTTGCAACCCTACCTGGACCGGGAGGCTCTCCTTACAGTCACTCATGCCCTTGTCACTTCATGCTTGGACTACTGCAACGCGCTCTACATGGGGCTACCCTTAAAAAGTATTTGGAGACTACAGTTGGTCCAGAATGCAGCTGTGCGGGTGATAGCGGGTGCTCCTCGGTACACCCACGTTACACCTATCCTCCGTGAGCTGCACTGGTTGCCTATTGGTCTCCGGGTCCAATTCAAGGTGTTGGTTATTACCTTTAAAGATCTATATGGCTCAGGGCCAGGCTATTTGCGAGACCGCCTACTACCTCATAGTTCCCTTCGTCCGGTTAGATCCCACAGGCTGGGCCTCCTTCAGGTCCCGTCGGCCAAGCGGTGCCATTTGGTGGGGCCACGGGGAGGGCTTTCTCTGTGATGGCGCCCACGTCTTGGAACAAGCTCCCCCCCGGAGATTAGGACCGCTTCCACCCTGTTGGTTTTCCGCAAGCTGCTTAAGACCTGGCTTTTCGGGCAGGCCTGGGGTTTATAAAATCTGACCCCTGGATGAATGTTACTGTATTGTTTGTCTTGTTAAGTTATATTGTGTTTTTATTGTTAGCCGCCCGGAATCCTGCGGGAGCGGGGTGGTTTATAAATTTTAATAAATAAATAAAATACCCGAACCAATAAACCATATCCTGGTGTAACATGATGGTTTGGTACAGAGAACAGAAAAACAGAGTTAGAACCTTGGAGGTCTTCTAGTCCAATCTTTTGCTTAAAAAGGAGACCCTATATAATTCTGGAAAATGGCTGTCCAATCTCCTCTTAAAAACCTCCAGTGATGGAGCATCCACAACTTCTGGAGGCAAGCCCTTCCACTGATGAGTTGTTCCGACAGGAAATTACCCTTAATTCTAGGTTAAATCTCTCTTTGGTAAGCTTCCAACCATTACTTCCTGTCCTGCCCTCAGGTGTTTTGGAGAATAGGTTGACCCCTTCTTCTCTCTGACAGGCCCTCAAATATTGGAAGACTGTTATCACGTCACCCCTGGGCCTTTCTCTTCGCCAGACTACACATATCCAGTTCCTGCAGCCTTGTGGGTGAGGATCACCTTAAGCCACGTATACCCACAGAGAAACATAACTGAGGTTGAATGAACTCAGGGAAACAGATTGGGTTAAGTGGGTTATATGAATGCACCTTATATTTTAAGGCAGTGGTTCTCAACCTGTGGGTCGGGACCCCATTTGGGGTCGAACGACCATTTCATGGGGGTCGCCAAACAACGCAGTCCGCCATTTTTTTCCCCTTTTCCTTAGCTGTGCTACTCCCTTTTATTCTGTTGGCTTTTGAAAGCCAATAGAATAGACTCTCTTGAATAGAGTCTAATTCAGTGGTTCTCAACCTGTGGGCCGGGACCCCATTTGGGGTCGAACGACCATTTCACGGGGGTCGCCAAACAAGGCTGTCCGCCATTTTTTTCCCCTTTTCTTTGGCCACGCCCCTGGCACCCAGTGATGTATAAGTGGTTGGGGGTCACCACAACATGGGGAACTGTATTATGGGGTCACGGCATTAGAAAGGTTGAGAACCACTGTTTTAAGGTGATGTGTGAACATATTAAAAATATAACCTCAAAATTACCAGGATATTTATGTCCAGCCAAATCCAGGCAGTAATTCTCAGCTCCAGTGCACTTGACCGTCTCCTTAGGGCATGGCTCAAATTCAGAATAGCAGGCTGGGCAATGTTTCCCATTGGCTGTCATATTTATTGGTGGCCCTGAAAAAAAAATGAGCCCAGTTAATTAAATCAGAGTATTTGAGTTCAAAAATGAACAACCCTCATGTGATCATCGGTTCCATTATTTTTCTAGGCATCTCTAGGCATTTATCACCCATAGTTGCTGTCAAACGTACTCCTGCATTTTTATACAGACAGTCCTTGACTTAACAACCATTTTTTTTTTTGTGACCGTTCCAAGCTACAACGGCACTGGAAAAAAGTGACTTACAATCAGTCCTCACATTTACGACTGTAGCAGCATCCCACACGGTCCAACCCACCTCACCTTGTAATGGGAGAAATAGGATACTAGATATGTTCACTGCCTTGACTTATTTGTAAGTATTTTTTAAAAAAAACAAATGTAATAAATAAATAAACAAACATTCCCAGCACTGTCGAGGCAGTCTTCAAAGAATACTGCAACACCCCTCTTCCCCCCCAGATAAAGTTGTTTACCCATCTTGCAAAGGGGAAAAAAACAGAAACCTCTAATTTGCAATGGAAGGATTGTATCAAAAATAGGACATCTGTAGTCCTCTAGAGATCAGGGATGTTCAGCCTTAGCAAGTTTAAGACCTGTGAACTCCAATTTCCCAGACATGGAATTATGGCTGCAGAATTCTGGGAGTTGAAGTCCACACAGGTCTTACAGTTGCTCTGCTCTGAATTACAATACTCAACGTGGCCTCTAGTGGAGAACTCCAGTACTTCAAGTTCTTGGAGGGCATGGCAACTTCCCAATTCTTTGAGTTGATACCGCTGGTTAGGAGTGCCAATCATTTCTTACATTGTTGGATGGAGATCACTGACAGAGGAAAAGGAAAAGAAGACGAGACCTACATGGAAGAGAATCTTCTTTGCACTCTTCTCCTAAGCAACAGAGGGTGCTTCTCCTGATGAACTTTTCTTGTCCAAAGGTCACCAAAACAGATGCAGAGGTGCAGTTCTCTGAGAAATAGCAGCCCTTTTCTATAATGGACATGGTTGTTTCTCCTGCCAAGAGAGAAGATTTCACATTTTGTCATGGCTGGGTCTTCACCTAGCCTAGAAGTGCCCAAAGAGAGCTTTTGTGGGACTCATTTTGTGACCAAGGATCTCAGAGCTGTAGTAGGATGCTTGCTCAGCTTCAGTGATTGGCATCTACAAGTCTAAAACCTTGGAAAGTTACCTCTAGGAGGACCAGCATAGGAACTCAAGTTGAAGACAACTTTCTGTGTTTAGATCATGCTTTATTAATTAGCAAACTTAAAGAAGCATATTTATTGTTACTATTAATATGTCAAGGATGAAACTTTGGCAGCTAAGTGCCTCTGCATTTCAACTTGCCTTTAGATTAAGGAGAGGAGGTGTTACTTTCAAGAGGGTTAGCTAGAGAAATGAAACTTCTATGATTCAGCTGAAGACCGTGAGAACCTGAAATCTTTTCAAGGACACCAAAACAGGTGTGGATTTGAAGCAGACAGTTCCCATAACAAAGTGAACTTGTTATACGGACTATATAAGAGGTTGGGGGTTTGGCTGGGAAAATTATTGTTTAATCTGAGTTAGTTTTGCTTTGACTTTACCATGCAGTATATTCAATAAACAGTAAGATTTTCAGAGACAAAATGAACCTGGAGTTTATTTGGATTCTCAAGCTGGATGTTGACATAATATTTGATTTCTATACCTCTCAGTGATTAAAGACTCAGTCCTCGACTTACAATCATTTGTTTAATGACCAAAGTTACAATGGCACTGAAAAAAAGTGACTTGCAAGCAGTCTTCTCACTTATGACCGTCATAACATCCCCACAGTCATGTGTTCAAAATTTGTTTACTTAGCAACTGGCATGCATTTGACAGTTGCAGCATCCTGGGGTCATGTTATCACCATTTGTGACTTTCCCAGCCGGCTTCTGACAAGCAAAGCCGATGGGGGAAGCCGGATTTGCTTAACAATGGCATGATCCACTTAATAACTGCAGTGATTCACTTAACAATTGTGGAAAAAAGGTTGGCAAATTAGGAACGATTCACTTAACAACCATTTTGCTTAGCAACAGACAGACTGGTCATAAGTTGAGGACTTCCTGTCTTTCCAAAGACAAAAATAAAAGATGGTGGGGAGTGAAAATGGATTAAGATGGCTGCTTGTCTACTGCTGCTTTTACTCACCTTTGGAGCTTTCTGTCAATTCGATAAAACAAATGTCCTCATTCAACTCACATCTCTCTTTCTCACTTAGACAGCTATTTCCTGTGCCAAAACACATTTCACACTCCAGGGAAACACCTGAAAAAGTGAAAAGGCCCATCAACCTGCAGGACAGATATTTCAGCCATGTATCAATGGGGTCCCTTAAGGGTCTGGTGACTACATTCATACAACATGCTGGTCTTGTGATTTGGCCAGGTTCTCCATGTCTGTGTATGTTTGGCTCAGCCTGTATTGTATGAACGCAGACTGCCAGGTTAAAATTTATGGTTAGATGGT